ACAGGAAGCGTGTAAGTCTTTTTGACACATATTTCTCTTCACTTTCTATCCATAACTTACACTACAAGGTTTATGTTATAAATCTCCATTTTCATTTCACTCAATGCCCTCATTCTGTTGTTTTACTTTCAGATGTTGTGTTGATTGTGGGAAAGTAGTATCTCAAGATCTATACACAGAAGATGCCACTTTTGTTAAAGATGCAGGAGGAGGAGTAAGTTTTGTGACCTAATTTACAGAAACTTTATACAATTCAACAATTTTAGTATCATGAAAATGACTTGTATGTATAATTTCAGGCTCATCTTGCAGGAAACCTTGTCAAAATGGGAAGTGCTTGTTCAGAGTCACACAGAAGAACCTTGGAGAAAGGTACATTATGATTCTATATTGTGTCATAATCCATCCATATTCCATAACAAATTGCAACAATTTTTTTCATTTATTTCAGGGAATGTGATAATATATGAGCTGATAGACAAATATGGGATTAGCAATGTCACACATGCCACCAAATATTATGAGGTTTTTGCTTCAAATTTCAATATATTTCTCACTTGAATCTTTAGTATAGATTATTTTTGAGAATTGTGACTTTTGATTACTTTATAAATTGTAGATAGCTGTTGAACGTGGTTTTACAAGAGGGCGTAGAACAAATCAAGTTGCAGCTGCTTGCCTTTATGTTGCCTGTAGGTCAGTGGTTTTTACTTTTTACTTTTTACTTTTTATAATCTTTAAAATTATATATATATTTTTTTACAAAATGTTAAAGTTGCAATGGTTGTTATTATGTTTTATAATAAACAGGGAAAAAGAAAAACCATTTCTGCTTATTGAATTTTCCAGTGAATTGGGTGTTAGTGTGTAAGAGATCATATCACATCTTCCTTTCAACTATTTAATATCTGTTAAATCTAAATTGTAAATTATAATTTATCATTTCTTTTTTTTAGGTATGAATTGGGAACTGTTTATTTACTACTTTGCAAGCTATTAAGCCTCCAAGATCATCCTTTTGTTCAAAAACCAGTTGACCCTAGTCTTTTTATGCATAGATACACAAGTGGTAAGACTTGATTCTCATATATTTATCTCTAAGAAATTCCAAAACTTTTATTTTCATGTTTTTAATTAATATTTACAGGACTAATTAAAGGTGATGGAAGTAAGCAAGTTTTGAACACTGCATTACACCTTGCAGTTAGCATGAAAAGAGACTGGATTCAGGTTTGTTTGTTTATTCTTTTTACCTTTTTTAGACCTTTATTGAATACTATTATTATTTTTACATTTTGTACATCAACTTATTTTTATATTTTTTGTATATTATTTTACAGACAGGGAGAAAACCTAGTGGGATATGTGCAGCAGCTATATACGTGTCTTCTGTGTTACATGGCCATAATTTTTCAAGAGCAGATGTTGTACGTATGACTTATATCCAAAACTATGTCAATAGTAAACTTGCATATACAATTAATTACTTTTTTTTTTTTGAGTAAATTACACGAATGGTCCCTATGGTTTTGGGTTATTTGTACGTTTGGTCCCTAACTTACTTTTTTAACTCGGAAGGTCCCTACAGTTTGTTTTTGTTGCGCATTTGGTCCTTGTCTTACCTAAAAGGTCTATTTTGCCCTTGATTTTTTAAACAAAGTGGGGTATGTAAGGTAAGGAAAGGTGAGGTGGAAGTGGGGTTGGGGTGTGTTTATTTAAATAAAATTAAAAAATCAAGGGCAAAATAGTCCTTTTAAGTAAGACAGGGACCAAACGCGCAACAAAAACAAACCGTAGGGACCTTCCGAGTTTAAAAAATAAGTTAGGGACCAAACGTGCAAATTACCCAAAACCATAGGGATCATTTGTGTAATTTACTTACCAACTTCATGATTGAATCATTGAAAAGCTTCTAATTCATTTCTTTATATACTTGTGTTATTTTTCAGGTTAAAACTGTGCATATATGTGAAGCAACATTACAAAAGAGATTAATTGAGTTTGAAAATACAGAAGCTGGGAGTTTATCTGTAAGTTTTCATGTATCTTTGTAATCATGTAAATGTGAGTTTGATGTGATTTTTTAAACTTTTTTTTTTTTTGAATAGATTGATGAGTTTACTAATAAAGCAAAGGAGTATGAGAAGGAGATGCAATCATGCAAACAGAGTTCAAAGGAGTTAAAGATGCCTGAATTGAATGAAGTTGTTTGTCAACATAAAAGCAATGCAGTTCAATCAGGTTTTGGGCTTTGTAAAGATTGTTATTTGGAGTTTTGTGGTGGACTTTATGGTTCAGAGCCTCCAGCTTTTCAAAGGGCAGAAATGGAAAGATTAGCCAATAAATCTGTGGATGAAAATGATAAAGACTCATTAACAGAGCCCCAATGTGCTTGTGAGTTGGTTGTATTTCTGTTTCTTCTTTTTGTTTTCATTTCTGTTTTTGATGATGAGGATGAGGAGGGCGTTTATGTCTTTTTACACAGACAGGAAAGTTTTTAAATTTTCTTGCTGATGTGTTTGTTTGAGTTAATGATATCTCAGCTCCCAGCCTTGGAAAAGTGGAGAATGTTGGAGACACTCAAGAGACTTCTGAAAGCCAAAAAGACGATCCTGCCCCTGCTGCTTCTGTTGATGAAACAGATACCCTTTCTGATATTGATGATTCTGAGGTGGCTTTTTAAGACTTTATTTTTGGGAAATTTTTTGATAATGTCCTTTTTTTTTTGAACAGAAAAGTCCCGATTATTTAACATTTTGCCCAATTTAACGAAAAAGTTCTTTTTTTTATTTTATTTTATTTTAAGACGAAATGACAGATCACCAAAATAATGGGACTTTTCTGTTCAAAAAAAAAATATATTTAAGACTTTATCAAAAAAAATTTCCAAATCTACATATTGTGTAATAAAAAAGTCATTTTACCTGGAAGAAACTGGAAAGATTTAAAAAAAAGGGACCATACTTGCGATTTTGTGTAAAGCACAGGGACTATTCATGTAATTTAACCATTTTTGTATGGTGTAGGTGAGCTGCTACCTTAACAATGAGGAAGAAAGCCGGTTTAAGAAGATAATATGGGAACAGATGAACAAAGAGTACATGCAGGTGAAATTCAAAATCAAAACCAATTAATTAAATAATCATATTAAAAATTAAAAAAATAATAATATTAATAATACTTTTTTTTTTTTTTAAGGAGCAAGCTGCTAAAGAAGCTGCAGCTGCAGCTGCACGTAAGCTTTATACAGGAACTTCAGAGGAAATTCGGGAAGCTCAGGCACTTGCTGCTGCTGCAGCTGAAGCTGTTGCTAGCAAAAGAGAGGTAACTTTTTTTCTATTTTTTAATTAATTAATTTATTTATAAATGGTATTTTTCTGGTAATATTCGTTTTATATGAAACCAGAAAGACAAAAAAAGACGAGCATTGGAAGCTAAGAATGCTAAGCCTGCCCAATCCGCTGCAGAAGCTGCTAGTCAACTTTTCACCAAGAAGGTTTTGTTCTTCTTGTATTGATATGTATGAGGGTAATTTTGGAAATAACAAATAATCGCAACATACTTACATTTCTTTTTACTTATAAATATTTTTGCAGAAGCTAAGTTCAAAAATCAATTATGATGCAATGAACAGTCTCTTTGATGATGAGGTAATCTATTTATTGCTTCTAATTGAAAGTGGCTCATGTTAGCATTTCTCCCTATGTAAAAACTAAAATGAGCTTTTTTGTGAAAGTTAGAACATGCATATCACTTGGGCTATGTTTGAAGTACTAGCTGAAAAGCTAACTGATAGCTGATAAAAAATAACGTTTGGTAAAAGTAGCTGAAAAGCTAGCTGAAATATATAAAATTACATAAAAGGATATGTAAGACTATGTGTTTCTATAATTAATTAAGGGGTGTATTTGGAAAATTTTAAAAAGCTCCTAAAAAAGCTAGTCTAAATAGCTTTTCAAAAAGCTAGCTTATAAGCTATTTTTATGGCTTACCGAACACGACAACATAAAAAAGCTCGAAAAATAAGCTAGCTATGGTTTGCCAAACACAGTCTTAAGTTAAATCTTAGTGGTCGTTTGATATTCTTATCTCTTATTGGATTAGGTCAGATTCAGACTGTTTGATATATGCATCTGTCTGGGTCTTAATGAGAACGTGACTTGATCAAATATCAACAACTATCAAAGATTGTTTTTCTTTTATTTTTTATTATTTTTATATATAAAAAAATTTGATGTGTTGTTGCAGCCGAGTCCGAAAAAGAACCGTGTTGAGGATGATGATAATGGGAAGGAGGAAGAATTAGGAAAGGGAGATGATGGGGAGGGAGAAGAAGATAATAACGATGAATGGAATTATGAACAAGAAATGAGTGGTTATGAGTATGATTATGATGCCAATGAATATGATGAAGAGTATTGAACTATTGATGAAAACATCATATACTCGAGATATACAAGTTTTTTTTTTTAGTCAACATTAACATTGTGTAGATGCATTTTTGAGGTGTAAATTACGAACATTTTATGGTTTTAGGCTCCGTTTGATAGTTACTAACTGAAAAAGTACTGACCGAAAAAATCTGTTTGAGCAAGAAATTTTGACTGAATAAGAAATCATATTGTTTGATTGTACATCTGATTGAACATACTGACTGATGAAAAATGATAATTTTACCCTTTGTTTTATTTGCAACTTAACATTCATTTGTTCATAACAAAAAAGAAAAAGATATATACAACATCATAACATCAAACGATACAAATTCATCTTTTCTACATAAATAAAAACCGTAAGTACAAAAATAATAGTAGAAACTTCATTTAGCAACGATTTATCACCAACAATTACACGTGTATATGAAAGAAAATTGCAATTCAAAGTGCTAAATGAATGGCTTGAGTTCATCAGGTTGGCACAAAATGTAATTACCATTACCAAAACATCTAACCAGAAGTCACCTCAATTAACTTCTTTGATCCTAAAGAATCTGGTGAAACTTATTTATTACTTCTATCAGACCTCCTTAAAGGACTTAGCCCCATCTGTTCTTCAACTTTATCTTGTTTCTTCTTGATCGGAGAAGAGCTTGGTGGTGTGTGGTTCTCAATTCGTTCAGACCTACAAGCATTAGATGAAGGACTTGCTATTGCTTGTTTCTTTGATGGTGTTTCTCTGCCTGGCCTTCTTAAACCAGATGCATCAGCTGATCCTGAGAGTGAAGCAGAAGATGCATCTTTCTTCTTTGACTTGGTATTTCCATATTCCTTTGCCATTGTGGCATCTACAGATGCACAGATCCATCAACACGATTATAAACAACAAATACAAGCAAAATCCAGTACATGAGTTGCACGAGCAAACAGGAAGCTACACATTATAGTAGAAGTATAATCGGTAACCTTTCTCTATGCTTCTAACTATTAGTCTATTAAGAATCCAGTGAGTTTGTAAACAAAATGGTGTGATATTCATCGATTAAAATCCCCAAGATTATATGCAGAATTATAGACAATGCACAACCTAAAAATACAGTACATCAAACATCACCAGGAACAAAAATTAGAACCCATATACATGTTCAACAGATAAATTAGAAATCGGAACCTATTCTCAATCAACTATTATGCATAAATTAGAGAAATCAAAAAAATCCGAAATCAAAAAGGAACAGAAAAAAAAACGAACAGAAAAGTCAGAAATAAAAAAAGGAACAGAAATCAAATCGAAACCCATACCTGATGAAAAAAGGTAGTTGATGGAGATCGTTGATGCTTGGCTATGGAGGCGATGCAAGAAGGAGAAGAATGGGGATGGAAAGCGTATTTTTCTTTCTCAATCAGCTATATTTTTTCTTCTATACGAATCAGATCTTCCCAACCCAGTCAGATGGCTAAATTTGGATTACCAAAAATATTTTACTGACCGAGTCAATAAAAAACGTCTGACCTCACTCGGTCAGATGTTTATCAAACACGCCCTTAACATAATGTTTTTGAAAAGGATGAAATTTGTTTGGAATCGGAGGTTTTGGTGGGGGTATGAAATTGAACAACAAAAATTGAATATGTTCTTAGATTTTTACTAATTGTAATAATAAAAGCTATTTTAACGGATATTTAATTTAATAATTATAAATAAAAAGATGTTAGTTAAAAATAGAAAGTCATTTTGTAAGTGAGATAATTTTGAAAAAATATTGTTATTGTACACAACTACAAATAGATGATTCGACAATTGAAAAACTAATGATGCGTTTGGTTGTGGAAAATAGTTTTCATCTTCTAAAAAAATGTTTTCAGAAAATAGAGTTGGGTTTTTATTTTCAATTTTCAATGAAAATTTTAGAAAACGTGTTTGGTTGAAACCGGGAGAGTTTTCATTTTCCATCTTAGAAATTTGGAAAACTTTGGAAACTGTAAAAATCACTTTTCTAATTTACATACAATTTGGAAAACTGAAAATTTTCATTTTCTTGGAAAATTTTGGAAAACATAAAGAACCAAACGCGTTTTCAAAATTTTCGTTTTTCTTGGAAAATTTTCCTAGAAAACTGGAAAATTTTCTACAACCCTAACGCACCCTGATTCGTTACAAACCGGTGTAGATGGTATTACATAAGGTATTACTTGTATACAAACAAATATAACATTTAAGATTTTTAGTACTAGTGAAGATTAAGAACAAACCTTATGGATGTCGTTGTTTAATACATTAAGAGATAATGACTTAAGAGGGTAATGAATTCTTAATTTTGTTTACATTTAATCAATTTTTTTTTGATTTACTTCTGAATTATTTGAAAATGTTCACATTTTACCCTTATGACCAGTTTACAACCGGTCATAAAAGTAAAACGTGAACAATTTCAATTCAAATAACTCAGAAGTAAAATCACACACGGAAAAAAAATTAATGACTAAATATAAACTAGTTGAAAGTTTGTTATATTATCAAGTTATTATCCATTTTTGTAATCATCCATTACTTTATTTTGCTTTGTGTTGTATCTGTAAGGATCACATAAACATGTTGTAGTTCATTATTTTAATCGTAGTCAATGAGATAAACCTTTAACTAGAGTTTTTTTTATTCATGTATAAATGAAACGCTAACCCACAAAGAAGACATAATCAGTAGAGTTTCACAGAGAAAAAAAATACACATATACGAGCAATAAAACGAGAAATAGATCGAAAATCAAAGGGAACATGGTGAAAAGGTACATATAGAACCAATATACAAATAAAAAAGGTAGATACAAGTAATAACTAGGAAAAAAAGTATCGACAAAACAAGTTGAAAGTAAAAGTAATGAAAACCAGGCAAAATGCACAAACAATGTAAAGGCAACTAGCACCTAGACTACTCATGTACTATTCTACGACTTTGATCTTATGCATCCACACTCTCTAATCAAAGCTCGTGTCCTTGTGAAGAGAAAAATCTCATTCAAATTAACATTGCATTATCTTTATCTTCACGCTTCTGTATCATCTCACAATCTACAACGATCATTTTCATCCTTGGAGTGAAAACCGTTGCCTATGTCCTAAGTATATGTCTAAAACCACCACAATCTTTGTTTCTTACATTTCTATGTAATTAAAGTCGTTTCTATTGTATTTCTAAGTGTTGTTTCAAGTAACTTACACAATAAATGTATATCACACAACATCCCTACTTTTGTGACCTTCATATTCAACTTGTGCTCACGATAATGACTTGAAAGAGTAGCAAACTTTCAATTTTGTTCACATTTAGTCATTAAAATTTTTTCGTACTTGATTTACCTCTAAATTATTTGAAATTATTCATATTTACCTTTATGACCGGTTATAAGGGTTAATTGTGAACAATTTCAGATAATTCAGGGTTAAATCAAGTACGAAAAAAAATCAGTGACTAAATGTAAATAAAATTGAGATTATTATCTCATATATTAAAAAATATAGTTGTATCATCTTGTCTTTGTTAGGAAATGATTTGTGAGAAAATAACTTAATTCTAAAACAATTGTCTTTCTTAAAACACGATTTTTACATAAAATATGAATTTGATATATAATGAAAAGGATGGGAGTACATAGATTCGACCTATCAAGAGGTTGTTTATTTACGTTGACCACAAATAAGATTTCAAGAAACCCTTCCTCAAAATTCTACCCAAATCATTTCTACACCTTTTTATTAACATTTCTTTGTAGTTTTCTTGTTGTTTTCCTCTAATTTTGTATAAATTTTGAATAAAAGTAGCAAGAATCTGCGTACATTCTTGAATTTGTCTCTCATCCTCTGTTTTCTCTCCAACCCTAAACAAATTCTTGATGGTGAGAGAAGAAGAGAGATTGAGACAAATATTTTCATTAATAGAAGAAAAAGGTTTATGTTTTTGGTTTCACGTTCTTTTAAAGGACATCAAATCACACATGCCCTTTTTGTAAGTTCTTGTTGCTTTATTTAATTTTATATTGTAGATCTATGATTGTTTTGATACACATTTCTCTTGTTAATAATGGGGTTCGCAATGTCGTTTCTTAATTTATGAGGCTAAATACTCCTTTTATTATGTGTGGAAATTTTCAGGCTTTGATAGATGAAAATCTCTGTTTTTTCAATCGAAAGATTGGGTGAGAATTGAGATCCAGGTTTTGTTTACATTTATGAAATTAATGGAGTTACATTGCTTTGGTTTATGCTGAATTGATCTAAGTTAGAAGTCACCATGCATTTTATCTATATGAGATAACATATAGTGGTTATGATCGGTTTGATATTAAACATATAAAAACCGATTATTAAAGGGTTGTATATATGTTACTCATAAGAATTAAATGCATAAAAAGCAACGTGGTTTCATTTATCTTTGTATTATAACATCCTAATTCCATTTCTTTCTATTTAAGCATTGTATTTTCAATTTTTTTTCATCATGGCATTGTACTTCAAAATTTCTACCCAATTTTCTCAAACATTAATTTGTACACATTTGCTCTCATTTATCTTTTACTTCCATTTCCTAAGGATGCCGTAATTTTCTTAAAGATTTTTTAATCATCGTATCATTTTTCCATGCAACAAGAAAAAAAAAACATGGCCTTAATGAAGAAAACTATGGTAGTTTTCTTTGTAGTTGAATACGTTTAACACGAACAAGATTTTGGCATTCACAAAATTAGCCTAAAATCCCATTTTAAATCGAATTGTAGGTATGCAATCTAGACCTTCAGAAGAGCTTCTTGATAAAGACCAAGGACCTAGTGACAATGATATCGATACAAATCAACATAAGAACAAGCATGATGCTCTAAGCCCAACTCCCAAGATTTCAGATATCGATGCCTTTAAGGAAACAAGGTCTAATGCAAAACGATTCTCAACTCCACAACCTGAAAGAGTAGAAAGCAAACAAGATTATAAAGGGAAATCATTAGTTCGTAGAAAAACAATGCTTGACTTGAGGTCTCCTTTGATTTGTAATCCATCTCTCAAACGCTTCAATTCATCGAAGCTTTATGGCAAAAGAATAAGGAAAAGGGTACCCTCGTGGTCGAAGTTATTTGAATGTGTTGGAGGAAGAGTTACTTCCTTGGAGATAGATGATAATTGTTTGGTTGATCTTTCACAACTTTTTCTAAGGTTTAGATTTGCTCATGGGGCCCATAGTCAAATTTATCGTGGAGTTTACAAGGAGGATGAGGTTGCAGTTAAAATTATTAAAGTGCGAGATGAAGATGAAAATAAAAAACTAGGAATTCGATTAGAGAACCAATTTGTTCGCGAAGTTGCTCTTTTATCTCGTCTTCGCCACCAAAATGTCGTTAAGGTATATAAATTCCAACTTTTTGAAGGTTTACATATTCGGTTTCACTTATTTTATACGAAATATGCAACTACATTTCATATTTAAAACCATACATACAATAATTTACTAGAAACGTATTTGTCGGTTGACACGTAGTTGAATAATTCATATAAATTAGTAAAAGAGTGAAATGTTGTTGCATAAACCAGTAAAATAGTAAAACAATAAAACATTGTTGCATAAATCGGTTAAAAGGTGAAATATTGTTGCATGAATTTATAAAAATGTGAAATATTGTTGCGTAAGTTGGTAAAAAAAATAAAATATTACCTATGTAAAAAAAGTGAGATTATTGCATGAATCTAAGGAAAAAGGGATTGTTTCATAGATATGTAAAAATAACTTAAACATTATTACATATATAGATATGCAATTAAAAGGAGTCACTCATGTGATAACTGATTCTCAGTTACAATGTTACATATTTTATTCTTAGAATGAGTTTTATCTAAAAAAACACTTTGTTGTATAAATTGGGAAGAAAGTGAAACGTGGTTGCATGCATACATGCACGTTTCATCCTTCCATACAGAAATTTTAATTCCATGCACGTGGATTTTGAAGTTTAATTCCATGCTTTCTCATGCATTTGCTATGTTCCACTATCCATAAATTAATACCGATCAATTCTTGAATCTATTCTACATGAAATTTTACATTTTGCCCACCATTGAGTGGCTATTATTCAATTCGAATCATGTTGTTTCCTTTTGGTGATGATATATAGTTTGTAGCCGCATGTAAAAAACCACCGGTTTTCTTTATTATCACCGAGTATCTTTCAAAGGGTTCCTTGAGGGGATACTTGCATAATCTCCAGGACAAAACCATAAAAGACAAAGAGATTCTTTCTTTCGAAAAGATTATCAAGATGGCTTTAGACATTGCTCGTGGAATGGAATACGTTCATTCACAAGGGATTATTCATAGGGACTTGAAGCCTGAAAACATACTCCTCACACAAGATTTTCAGTTGAAAATTGCCGATTTTGGGATAGGTTGTGAGGAGGGGCATTGTGAAGTGGTAGTAGATGATCCAGGAACTTATCGTTGGATGGCTCCTGAGATGATTAAAAAGAAGCCGTATAATCGGAAGGTTGATGTGTATGGATTTGGACTCATTTTATGGGAGATGGTGGCTGGGGCTCTACCTTATAAAGACATGACACCGATTCAAGCGGCGTTTGCTGTCGTGCATAAGGTACCTTTTACATTGTGCTACTTATGTTCTAAATTTTTACTCGAGCATAATATATTCTTCATGTTAAAAAACACAAAATAATTCATATTAAGGGGGTGTTTGGAGGAAGGAGTTACGAAAATGTCTTTAAATTGGATGAAATACTAATAAAAACACAAGGCATGTTCATAATTTTATTATTTTAGTCACTTAACCATTTTCCATAATAATCATACTATTATACTCTTTTTTTCGACAGTCTAGAACACCGATTTTCCCGGCTAGCCGATTTTTAAAAATGTTAGAATATAAAAAAACACAATGTAATTTCATAATTTTATAAATTTTGTAAATGAACTATTTTTTTTTTTTTATGATTATAGAAGAATAGTTGATTGAAATGATTTTTTGTATTTTTGTCATGAGGGGTAAGCTGAAAAGATGGATTTGTT